TTCTCCATTGTTGTTTCAAATTATCTGATATGTCATCATCCCAGTCTACTCCATCTTGACACAAGGTTTGAAGTATTCTTTTACCAATCAATATAAAGGGTGAGACCATACCCATTGGATCGAAAACAGAACTCACCGTTGACAATATACCTCTTCTAGTTATTGGTTTGTCATTAATACTAATTCTGAACTGGAACGTATCTGATTCTATACACCATTCTACTCCTAAAGTTCTCTCTATTGGTAAGGCTTCACTAGAGAGATCTAAGTTCTTTAAACTTTTAGCCTTTTCCTCTAAACTTATTGCTTCTAGAACTTCTTTCTTATTTGACAAGAACTTGTGCAATTTGAAGCCACCCTTCGAACATAATGCTTTACTATTCCTGATTAAAGCTATGGCTTCTGCAGTTGTAGGTAAAGATGTTAACCCATCATCTACATAAAATTCATTTTTAACAAAGGAGGCGGCTTCTGTTCCACATTGCCATGCATAATCATCAGCAGTGGCTTTCAGTGCAAAACTTGCTACACTTGGAGAAGATGTAGCCCCAAATAAGTGAACTGTCATTCTATATTCTTTGACAGTTGAATCAGGATTTCCATTTTCCCACCACAGAAAGCGTAGTAGGTCTCTGTGATCAGGCTTTACCTTTACTTGGTGGAACATTGCTTCTATATCACATGCAATTGCTACATGTTCCTTTCTGAATCTGCACAATACGCCAATCAAGTTATTTGTCAGATCCGGACCTTGTAAAAGATTCTTATTAAGTGATTCATTCTTATACACAGCACTGCAATCGAATACTACCCTAATTTTGTCAGGTTTCTTTGGATGATACACACCATGATGTGGTATATACCATACTCTTCCATCATTGAAATTTGGACCCTGGTATGGTGCCTCTTCTGCATAGCCTTTGTCTATGAGATCTTTCATAAAGGCAACATAGTCCTGTAGAAAACCATTCTTTTGCTTTAGCTTCCTCTTTAGACTCATCAACCTACACATTGCTAATTCTTTACTATTTGGAAACTTGACCTTATCATCTTTAAGAGGGAGTGGCAATTCATAACGCCCATCTTTTAGTTGATGAATTCCATCTTTCATTTTTCTTAAGAAAATCTTGTCTTGATACGAAAAAGGAACATTTCCTGTCTCCCTTTCACTGAAATCAAGCTCGAACAATTTTCGAACTTGTGCAAAATCAATTATTTCCTTTACTTTAGTTGGTGAGGAAAGAAAGCTACATTTTGTGTCACCATTAATGATAACCTTATTGACTATTACTTTGCTAGCTAGAACTGAATCTGAGTCACTTGTGTCTTGACAATCACCATTGACTCTCCCTATTATACTCCAACCAAGCAAAGTTCTCCTTGCATAAGGCTCGTCATCTTTCCCGGGAATTAACTCTCTTGGTTTGATGGCACGGATACAATTTAAGCCAATCAGGAGCCCAACTTCAACACTTCTATCGTATGGCATCAATTCGTTTGCTACTCTCTGTAAATGAGGCCACCCTTCTACACTTTCTGGCCTTGGAATTTGATCATGTCTGGCTGGTATATTCTTCCTTGAATAAGTGACTGGAAGTGCAATCTCTATCTTTTCATTTTTACCACATACTATTAGTCCTCTAGTCTTTGTACTTTCAATTGTTTCTTCGGCTGTCACTGTTGTTAACTTTAGGTGTACCTTGGAGCCTAGAATGTTTAGCTCATTCATGGTGGATTCTTTAATAAAACATGCATCTGACTGTTCATCCAATAATGCATAAACCAATACCTTTTTACGTATGTTACTTTCATGATGTATCCATACTGGTACTATCATGGAATGCATCATATCCTCTGATTTTCTCAATATCTTTATTTTATTGGAAACTGCACTATCTTTGAGTTCCTCATTAACTTTGCTGGAGTTTACCTTGTCTTCATTTATATTAGTTTCATTTGACAATGTTACTGTATTTCCAGCCTCTTGTTCCTTATACATTTTGAGTAAGGCTTCCCTTTCTTTTATTCTTTCAAGTATAGCCTCATGAAGAGATGTTGGATGACGTCTCTTACATACTGTGCATATATTCTTTCTTTTGCAGTTTTTAACAATATGGCCATGTTTTAAACAACCCCTACAAAGAAATGATTTTTGGACATATTCAAATTTTGCCTTATTATCAAGTCCATTAAACCCTTTACATTTATCAAGTTCATGATCAACCTTGCAAAAATTACAATATGGTTTGTCTGGACTTTGTCCCCTGTCATCTCTATGTACCTTTGTTTCTTTTACACCTGTTGAGTTAGTCACAAACCTTTTTGTCCCAGACTTGTTTAATTCTGGTTTACCCTTCTTACTACTCATTGAAACATTGATATTATGACTCTGATTCCTTGTCATTACTGCATTTTGTGATGAGATTGGATGGCGAGCTTTCTTTGCCTCCACTTCTATAAATTCACAAAAAACTGAAAATGGAGGGTAACCTGCATCACTTGAGGACCATTTGTAAACTACAGAATTCCATCTATCTATAAGAGCTGGGTATAACTTCTGTAACATTTTACCATTTTCTTGAGGATCATTTAAAATATTAAGGTAGTCTGTTGTTCTCATTACTGTTAAGCAATTCTTTAAGAAGTCTGACAATTCCTGTAGTGCATGACCATCCTTATTTGAAATCTTTGGCCATTCATTTAATTTACTTCTAAAAGCATTTGCCACAATAAACTTATTTCCAAACCTATCCATTAATATACCTTTAGCCTCAAGATAAGCTTCTTCTTTGGGGATACGAAGAAGTCCTTTAATGGCAGCCTTAGCTTCCCCACTTGTATAGTGACCTAGATAGAAAAGTTTCTCTGCAGGTTCTGTAACTCTTGATTCTATAAAAATCTCAAAGGTTTGAAGCCAGGTTGGAAACTCCAATAAATCTCCACTGAAAATTTCTGGTTCTAGTTTAGGCAATTCACTTTTACTTTTAGATGATAAAATATTTAATACATCTTTGAGTACATTAAGGTCTATAGGTTGACTTGATCTACCTTGCCCAAATGATGCATTCAAATCTTGAAACTCTCTTTTTGGCTCAAAACTCTTTGTTTGTAGCTTAAGCTCTGGACTTGCTTTTAAGAAGGTATTCTCTAATTTAGACACCTCTATCTCTAATTCACCCATACCTGATACATCATTAGCAGCTATTTCTTGTTTTGGTAAAGTAGGATTTACTTTCTCAACCTCTGTCAATTTATCAATAGATTCAAAATATTTGTGAAGATGAAGTTCTTTACTATCATCTAGATCTTTACTTTGAGACAATTCTAGCTGATTTTCTTCTAGACTGGCTTTCTCTACTTCTTTTTGAGATGGAAACCTATTTCTCATAAAAAGAAACTTTTTGTACTCATATTCTTTTTCTTTCATGATCCTCTGTTGATTTATCATGAACATCTTATACTCTGTTTCCTTTTTATGAAGCTGAAGCTCAATTTGTAGCTTAGCTAATTCTGCTTGTATTCTTTCATTCTGTGTAACATTATGCATAGATCTCTTTGTTGAATGGGAGTGCTTTGATGATCTACTTTGTTGTGAATTTACTGAATTTGTTTCTTGTTTTAACTCATGCATTTTACTCTCAATTTTTTGCATACAATTATTGTGCTCCTCAGTCTCAAACTTTAACTCTTGTAACAATTCATCCTCAGAACTTGGATCTACTTCCATTAACAAGTTAAAGGCATTTACAACTTCTTTAAACTGTGACTCTTCTGCCTTTCTATGAACATTAAGTTGATCCAAGCATACTACACTATCAAGACTTGGTAATATCTCTGATAATACCTTTTTCCATGCTAGCTTAGCAGATGATAACCTCTTTATATACTGTGTTATTTGATACTCACGCCCTTTTTCTGTTAAAACCTTTTTCCTAGCACCTTTCATTACCTCACTGGCCCCAGTTACCTGAGGTTGGTCACCTACAGCTTCTTCAGTAGCACTCATTATTACAACTACTATTTGTCTACTGACCTATATGGAACTTAAAACACACAATCTATACCTATTAGTTAAAAGTTCACTAGCCTTTGGGACCTGTAGAAATGAAGAGCTTCTTTAAAGAGCAGAAATCTTCCAGTAATTTATAGGTTATCCTCTTGCCTTTGGATTCCCACGAACATTCACACCGTTCTTCTATCCTTCTTGACCTTGAATTATCTTGCAAGATGGGTTGACAGATGTGAATCCTCTCACGAGCATCCCCACTGAAGTATGTAACTGCTGCTTACAGGAGGTCTTGAATCTGAACTCATGAGGATGTGAGTTTAACTGTAGTTCTGGACTGATCTTTTACTTTTGCATGTTTAACTGCATGCAGAAGGTCTTGAGTTTAACTGATGCGATGAGTTTAACTGTAACTCAGTGTATCCATCTGTTGTGGGCTGAGTTTAACTGTTGCAGAGAGCCAAGAACCGGTGGGTTTCACTGGAAACGCTTGGGATCTTTTTGTGGTACTTTATTGCATCTTCGATACATCTTGAATTCTTCTTTTTACATGCAATTCATTACCATCCATTTCTAGTCCAATTATTTCCCAATTATCTCCGTTAAACTGAAATGAACAAATCTTCCACTAATACATGCTTGACATAAAACTCTTATTTCACACAATATAGCTCAATATTCATATTACATTCTCCTTCAATTAGGTCTTTATATAACAATAGATCATTTACTTATACTAATATAAAAATATATCACAAGATTACAAAGATATAAGCAGATATATTACCTCAGACACCTCACTTGGCTTCTCTGAGTAACAAAATGGCTCCCAATGTTTATGATGATTAGTTATGCAAATGCCCTATAGATGTCGTACACCTTAGAAAACGATATGAGGGTATACTCATCTATTTCATACTTAACCTAATGTTAGTAATATCACAAAGCATAGGAACTGATTGTTTATAACTAAGTATACATTTTGTCCCTGCAGTAACATATATATATATATATATATATATATAAGTATATATAGATAGATAGATAGATAGGTAGATCTGTAATACACACACACACACACACACACACACACACACACACACACACACACACACACACACACACACACACACACACACACACACATATATATATATAGAGAGAGAGAGAGATGTAAAGGGTATGAATTGATTGAACCTCTTATACATTGGTGAACAGGGTAGTAAAAGCTTGGTAACTTGAGACTCTTTTTTTCTAAGAGTATAGCACACAGATATTAATACACGCGTGACAATCTTGGGTTAAGCTCGCGGTCACAGCCCAGCGGGCGGACTTGACCGCCTGACGCCCTCGCGCCCCGGTGATCAGACGTGACCCCGACAGGCGCTGGCGACTGACTCTCACTGACTCTGTTTGACCGGACAAGGATAAGTCCGATATGCGAAGCTGAGCCTCGCCCGGGCTATGGGGGAGTCCGGCCTGTGCCGACTAATGTCGACTCGTTAACAGTGTGTCAGCAGGTGCTGACTCGGATGAGCTTAGTCCTTACCCACTGTGGTGCCCAGCCACAACAGTAAACTCCAGGCGACAATTGCAACTTCTCGCGCCTGGGCAGGGCGCGAACCGCCGACCCCTCGGATGAGAGGTCGACACGTTACCACTGTACTAGCCCGGAGGCTTTTGACCGGAGTCATGCCAGGGGGGGGCGAGGGACCGCCCATCCGCTTGCCAGCTTGGCGTGGCGTGGGTGACACGTGGCCAAACTTGACGTGGGGGCACCCACGTGGCTAACGAACCCACGTGGCCTATACGTGCTTAATACACGGTATATTGCTCGGCCACCTACTAACGCCTCGTCCCCGAGGCGTCTTAGACTTGCCTCAAGGGTGATCCAACTTGACTAGTCCTAACTTGCTCGTCCTCGATCTCGCGTGCAGTATCCCTGGTGCATTTCCGTGGCTGCTCATCCTTGTCATCTTCGTCCTCATCCCTGGTAAATCCGTCCGTCCTCGACATCCACACGTCCTCGAAGGTCTCGCCCAGGTTCTCCTTGACTTCGGATTCGCCCAGATTTCCTCGTAGTCCTCGTCCAAGTTTAACTCGGCGGCTTACTCGCCCAATGCACGTTTCGCAGATCTCGTCCAGGTCCTTCTCGGCTGTGCGCTCGTACAGACGTCCTCGTAATCTTCGTTAGGATCTACGAGCGTCCGGCAGGAAGCGTCCTCTTCGGCATCGCAGGGCGGCTGATTCCTGCGCTGGCGAGCTCCTGGAGTGTGATTGGATCTATGGGCGTCCTGGCAGGCGGCGCCCTTCCACGTCCTGGGGCGGCTTAATACCTGCTCTGACGAACATCCTGGTCTCCAGGTTTCTGGCGATCTTCCGGTGACGTTTTCAATAGCGTCCAAAGGTGACTGTTTCTGCAACATGGCCTCCTTCGGTGCCGTGTCAGATATCGTGAACCAGATTATACACATAAGGGCCAAGATAGTAAGAGAGAGAAAAACACAGAGAAGAGGGGGTGTTAAGCTCCACTAGCCAATTTTTGTTTTATACTTTGCAGTTTTTATGGTCGAATTTTCGTTATTTTCGTTTTTTTTTTCCTTTTTTTTGGTTTACGTTCAAAGAAGAAAATAGGAGAGGGAGACAGCGGTAGCGTCTGCAAGGCCTATCTTGAACTATCAAACCGTCTCTTGATAGATACGAGAATAGATTAAGGGAAACGACAATTGGTAACCTGCTAAGGTTTGCTTGAATCAATGTGAAACAGAAAGGAAAGTATGTAAAATACAAATTCATGTACAAGTCACACATCACGACTGACAAAATCTCGGGCAAAGAGATACCTACGTCTGCAACTACGACTGCAGCAAACACTGTTAATGAAGGTTTCAGTGTCTTTTATCTGCGTCGATGAGTGAGTGACTGTGTGTGTGCGTGTGTGTGTATGATTAACAGTGAGTGATGAATGTCAAATGAAGGTGATAGCAAGATTTGACCTGACTCAGTAGCTAAACTCGGAGATTAACGTTCATTTCAACAGCAATGCGACTAATCATTTATAGACGTAATACAAAATTATTTCAACTACCAGAATGACGCATTAATGAATGGTGACATGAAATTATTCACAAGCTCCTTCGCGAGCGAATTTTCTCGGAACTGTGCATGCAGCCTTCATTGACGAGGGGTCTGTCCCAAAAATACCGTACTTCATGAAGCTAAACGAGCTGGGAAAATTTATCTAATCAGACCCTAATCCTAAAGTAGTTCATGGATATAAATTGTGGGTCACACGGCTCAAAATTTGCCAAGCATATGAATTACTTTGGTTACCTAACCTATTATCATTACATCGGGATGCAGGCCTATTATGAATAAATGCAACTTCTGTTATGAGGGACAATCCTGGCGTTAAATTCAAATATATAATTGTATATGATCGCGTTACAAGCTCTGTTCTAGCGCCGATAGAACGTGTCACCAATGAACATGTA